TGCCTTTCCTTTTGAAGAAAACGCTTGGACCCTCTGCCTCTTAAACCAGGCTTCTCAAGTGCTGTCAGATTGCAAATGTCTAAAACAATACCTACATTTTGGCTGCATTCCACCATGCACCGTTAATAAGTGCACAATTCAGTGAATCTAGGGCTGGATGCCAATAAATATGCCACTTCCTTTCAATAACCAAGTGCTACGCTATATATCAAATAAAACAATATAGATCCTTGGGGCATTATCAAATTTAACTGTGTCACTGGAAAGAAGCAATGAAAAAACTCAAGAAAATTTAAAACGCTGCTGCTTCTTGATGAGATTGGCCGTTAGGCCAGCTCTGACTCCTGGCACTTACCTGGAAAAGTCGCTGCTGCTTCTTGATGAGATTGGCCGTTAGGCCAGCTCTGACTCCTGGCACTTACCTGGAAAAGTCGCTGCTGCTTCTTGATGAGATTGGCCGTTAGGCCAGCTCTGACTCCTGGCACTTACCTGGAAAAGTCCCTGCCATTTTCTTGGCAATATTTTTCAGAAGAGTTTGCCCTTGCCACCTTCTTCCTAGGGCTGAGAGGGACTGTCCCAGTGTCACCCAGGTGGCTTCCGTGCCAATGGGAGGTCTAGAACTTATGGTCCCTTGGCTTCACCAAACTCAGGAAAAATAAAGGACATTTGCCTGCTTTAAACCTGATTCTCTTAAACTGCACTTAAAGTCTTTCCTCAGGTCTAGGACTAGGAACTGAATCATAAGAGAGACTGACGGCTCTCACTGCTCAGCGGTTCAGCTTCTGGATTTCTGGGTTTTATGTTCACTGTTCCAATATTTTTTTAAAAAAGATGTTTCTTTCTTTTTTAAAAAATTTTATTGCTGAATACCCTATGAGCCTTTACAGAAAGGAGGCCCTGAAGTCATCCTGAAAAGTAATTGAGAAACAGGCATCCAGAGAAGTAGGGTTTCTGTTTGCAGATTGTGATCAAAATGCCTGGAGGCTGGAGTGTCTCCACTGGTATGAAAAGATATAACCCTGGGAGATATTTAAAGGGGGGTAGAGGAGAGAAGGCTAACATGGGATGGGAGACCACAATGGATGCATGATAAATTTAGGCACAGGGTAGATAGTGAATCAGCCACTCTCACAATACTAGAACTAAACAGGGTGGCCCAAAAGTGAACCACAGAAGATACAGGACAGGGGAACAGATGTATTGGCCAGGTGATCCACTACATTAACGGCATCTTTGCTTCAAATATGGATAGAATTCAAAAGTCATCAGAGCAATTTGACAGTGCAACCACATATCCAGAATGGTGCTGGAGCTCTTTGAGGGAAGGGGGCTCAGTTTAGCATGTTGTAATTATTTAAATATGAGATTTAATGAGATTGGTTACCTGTTGGAATCAAATGATGCTCAGTGGCTCACCAGATCACCCAATACTAGAAAACCTTCATTATATAGTATTAACTTAAAAAATAAAGCTTGAAAAATAGACTGAGATCAAAACTGATAAGCAATCACAAAAATCATAAAAACAATAAGATGGGCGTGATCACAACTCAAATGCTCTTCAAAATAACTCAGTTCTGAGTCACTGATAAAACGCTAATAAAGAGGGGGACTGATTGTATCTCAAGGAAAAGGTGTTCCTCAGGGCAGGAAGAAGCACCCATGACCCTTCATCTCCTTTAGGTTGCAGAAGCAAGGACCGCTAGCAGGTTCTCTTGGCACTTAACTACATAATGGTTGGACTCTACTGTTCCCTCCCAATTCTATGAGCCAAATTCATAGAGAACAGTGGCTTCTCGCTCTCATGCCTCCATACCTTCAACAGTGCTGGTATCTGGCCAACCTTTTCAGGCCTTCCTTGGTTAACCCAGTAAGGCTCTTCTGGTTTATTTCCTGAGATGCCCTGTCTGTTGAGAAATCTTATTACTTCCACCACCCATCACTCTCAGCAAGACATTCCAGCACCCCCAAATGCTTCACATTCTTAGCTTCCACCCAGCCACTGAGCAAGAACACTCCCTTCTTTGCTCATGGGAAGTATTTAAGCTCCTAACGCTAATTTCCCCAGGATCCAGGGGCAAAACAGAGGAGAAAGGCACACCCACCACAGGCTATCAAATGGCTTGCCCATCTCTCTGGGACGGGCTCTTTGGTATGGCAAATTGGGCACAATAATTGTGAACCCTATCCCTCAAATGCTTCAGGTTTCTTCTTATAAGAGCTGCTCCAACCAGAAAGATTTCCACAGTTCCCCTAAATCTAAACGGGATTATTCTGTCCCAACTTCAGTGGGCCAATTTATCATGGTGTTGGACTCAGCGTCAAAAGAGCCCATTTTGGCAGAGGTTGGCTCAGCCAGAGCTGCTCTCCATCTCCCCCCTGGACGCCTGAGGAAAAGTTCTTCCTTTGCCCAAGAAACCAGTTTCACCAACCTGAGCAGGAGCTTCCAGGAAACGGCTTTGCTGACCTAGCCAGGGTTTCAGCTCCACAGCTCCAGCTCCTTCCAGGCTGCCTGATCAAAGGAAGCAGTAGACTTTGCACAAGACATCAGGGTGGGAAAAAAGGGGAAGGTGCCCAAACACCCACACAGCAAAAGTCATTTGAACAGAGAAAAAAGGGGAAGTGGCAAGGATTGAGGATTTGAGAATGTAGGCTTCCACGACACACTAGCCAATTTTAAAAAGTGGGTGGGTCCTGAGATATTTTTTTGAGAGATGGGTTCAAATGCTGCCATTTCCACTCCATGGAGATCTCACTCCTCATTGTAATCAGCAGCAGCCTGATCTCCTCTTGCCTGGCAATCTCTCCCCTTCCCCCCAGTACTGACTGCTCCAGGTCAGGTACCTGAGAGCATCTCTTCCTCCACAGTTGTGTGTCTCAACCCTAATGCAGAGGTTCAGCACTGATGTCCTTCCTTTAGTTTCAGAAGGAGAGTCCCAGTCATGCCAGACTACCCACCCACTGTGCTTGGGGTCTGACCACAGCCACGTTTTCAGGACCACTGGGACACTCATCATGCACTGCTTGCGCTAATCCTAGACAGCAGAAGGACCCGTCTTGGCCTTGCCTTCTAGCTGGGAGAGAAGACCCCAAAAGCTGCTTTAGCAAAGGCAGGAGGTACAGCTGTCCTCCTTCCATCAACAGCTAGTGGATGGACTCACCTAACCGTTGGGTTCCTTAATCTGGCTTCAGAATGGGCCACATACGCATTCTTAGAAAATAAAAAAAGGATGCTTGGGTGGAGCTGAGTGTTTTGTTTGGAAGTTGATGGTTCAGAAAACTATCACAAGTAAAGAGAGGTCAAAGGGAGCATCCAGAAGGAGGAGGACCAGAGGAAGGCCCCGTTAAGCATCCAGGATGGTCAGCTAAACTATGATTAAACCCAGATACTAAGAAAAGAATTCCACAGCAGAAGAAGGAAAGGAGCTAAAATAAATGGAAGTTCCTAAAACACAAAATGAAAAAAGTATTCTAAGCTGCCTTTATTTTCTTTATTTCTCTTAATGGATTTTTCAAGTCAGCCATCATGATTTGTGACTGGATGCTGTACAACAACAACAAGTGCTATCTAATGTTTTAAATAATTTGTAAACTGCCCAGAGTCACTGGGAATTGGGTGGCATATGAAATTTTTTATTAATAATAATAAGCCCCAGATATAACCAAGGGATCTTTGAGGCTGGCAATGATGATAGCAACTCTTGCCTGCCATTCCTCTCCAGTGTGCAGAGGGAAACCCAGCTCTTCAAGGCTCTGTGGGAAGCCAGTCACCTTGGGGGTTATCTGAACCTCGGGGTGGGGAGGTCATTCCAAAGGGCAAAGAAGGCTGAGTTGCAACACCCCCCCCCCATAAAGAGAAAGATAAAGGGAGACCACTGAAGATGCCTCTGTCGCTGTACACCCAGCTCAGTGGAGACCTGAACTCAGAAAGGACTCCGTGGTAGGTGAAACAAGGAGCAGCTCCCGCAGAGGGAAGACACGGCAGATGCAAAAAGGATTCCATAAATACTAAAGCAGAGACTGGCAAGGCAGAAAGTGCAACAAGAAATATTTAAATTTCTTCATTTCAGGCCCTTTGAGAAGCTGAAATCAGAGGGGGAATATCTGGCAAGAGGTTCCGGCAAACAAAAAAAGGTGGAACTCTCGTTTTGCTGTCCTCTTCCAGAGGAGACAATGGGCTTCATTCGGCCAGTGCAAAACAAGGACCGAAAGGTACCAAGCAGGGGAACCGCATCCCAGGATGCCGAGATCTTGGCCAAACTTTGGGATGTTACTTTGAGAAATCCTGGAGAAGGGGCAGAGGAGACGGCCGCCTGTCCCACTCATTAGCATTCAGCCTTCTGTCCTTATCTGATTGCTTTGCATTCAGGAGCTCAAGGGGGCAACAGCACAACCCTGCGAGTAGGCTAAGCCGAGAAAGTGCGGCTGACACCAAAGCACCCAAAGCTGCTTCTAGAGCAGGGGGAGGACTGGATCTGCATATCAGAGCAGCCCTTCGACCACATCCCCACCTTGGACAAGGGGCACAGAAGGGTCCCCAGGACCAGACAGCATGGCCCTATTGCCCAGGGCTCTGCAGGGCCGATGTCGGGAGGAAGGAACGGCTCGCAAGGCGGATTAGCCGCGGGCGCGGGGCATAAAACCCCGCTCCCCGCTCCGCCCCCGCCCGCCTCGAGACGAGCGAGGAGGCGGGGCTCACGCAGCCGGCCCCGCCAATCAGCGCAACGACAGCTGCAGCCTCGTCCAGCTATTAACGGTCCCCCCCCGTCGCCTGGCGGACACGCCACGTTCTGCGTTCTGACGACGGGGCCGACGAACCTGTTGTGCCTACACACGCAATACAGCTGGCTCGTGTTTACATACATACCCCTTGCAGAATTCCTAAGATGTGGAGCATTTCGCGCGAAAACAGGACTGATCAGACCAAAAACTTTCCGTTCACGTTCTGCGTTTCGGCGAAGGGGCCGACGAACCCGCCCCGGGCGCTCCAGTCAGGCCCGCTCCTCGGCACCTCCGGGGCGCTCCGCGCGCTGCCGCCAAAGGAG